GACCCTGCCGCAGCTGGGGTGGAGGGGTGGGTCGGACTAGATGAACTCTCACGGTCCCTTCCAGCCTTACGTTTCTCTGATTGGCTTGATTTACAACTAGCGATGCTACCAGCTGCTGGCATTTACTGTACATTTGAGAAGTTTCTTTAGCTGGTTCAGAGGTGGATGGTGGAAAATCTTCTGTTGCCATAAGATCTCTCTCCAGCAGCTTCAGAGGGAGTGAACCAAGCCTAGTTTTCAAATAACGATAATTCCTTAACCATTTTTCTATCCCTGCCCTAGAAAGCCGGCCTGCATTTGAGTCAGCCTCCAAAGTTACCTACCGCACCAATGTTGTGGCACAATGTGGTTTCGTTGTGTAGAAGAGGGACACTAGTAGTATTAAACGCTTGAAATTTCAAGGAGCCATTTTTGGATCTTTTCATCTCAAGCCAAGTACTTCCTCCATTTAATCCTCATTTCAAGCACAGTCTAGTTGCCAGTGAGACTCAAACCTACAAATATGGAAGCACAAGGATCACTACCCCACAGTTACAAGGGGGAAATCAAAGTAAGTCTTCTAAAGGCACCACATTTACAGTCTTTGCAACCCCCCCAGACACTGTAACCTCAATGCCCTGTGGCTGCTTTCCCTCCCAATGCAACCATGCCCTGGCTACAACAGAACTCCTAACCTTCTCTCCCAAACCTCTTCCCCGCACCTCGAGCACCCCCTTCACTGTAACGGCAGGCCGCACACAGGCCTTCCCAACAACCTGGTGCATATGGCGCAAGTGCGCTTTGACGCCTCCCTCTCCTTTGCCCTACCTGTCTGAACCCTGCTGCCTCTTCTGCCATACAGCTAAGATCCATCTTTCTTTCTATTCCCACGGCAGGAACTCTGAGCCAGGACCCAAGTATCCAGCTGTGATTACTGCAGACTCTTCTCCGACTCCCTACTTTATGTTGCCTCCAACACTTGATACAAAACACTGCTAAAATTGCATTCCTTGGCCACGATCTTCCCTATTTAGCACCTCCATCCCTGCTGCGATCCCAATACTGCCAGTCTCAGTGTGACTCTGTTCTGCTGCTCCAGCCCAGGTCACCACGCCACGTCCCAGACATGTTTCCTGAGTCAGGTGGTACAGCTACCATCCCCTCCTGAACACCCATTTCTATCACAGCTCCTACAGGGATAACAGCAGAGCTCTAAGATAGTCCAATATGTAGTTTAACATGATTACACATTCAAGCTGTATTTCATCAACATGTAGCCTGTCATCACCCGGCCAGCTTACCTGTCTCTTGTCCCCTGCTCTCCCCTACCCTCCATCTCTGCCTGTTGTCTTTTTGAAGTGTAAAGCTTTTGGGCAGTGACTCCCATGTTGGGAAGATGCCCATCACATCCCATGCCTGCTAATGGAAGCGAGCAACACATAGTACAGAGTTGGTATTAGCAGCAGGGTTGGGCCCAATCTATTGCCACTATTGTGAATAGTGAAGATTAAGCAAAACTTTTCTTTAAATCCAGCTGGCACATGAATTGAAGGGGATTTAACTTTAGGGAAAGTTTGCAGGGACAACAACAAACAGAGCTTGGTGAACAGCTGATGTTTTGGTCCAGTGCCAGCAGAGAATTTTTTAAAAAAAATCAATTCAGTCAAACCAAATAAAAATTCAGAGTGTGATTAAATCAGAAGATTTTGTTTTGGCTCTGTTCCAGAGCAAGGGTTTGAACCTGGTGTGTCATACCCCTGGTGAGCACCCCGTCATTGATCTTCGTGGTCAGCTGCAACTGTATTTTTTAGCAAATAAAGTACTTGTAAGAAAACCTGAATTTAGCTCTAGTAACCAGCCTTTTCCCTCTGGAGGGGATAAGAAACCAGGAAACAGACAGGAATCAAGATTTAAAAATCAGGGTAATTATTTGAGAGACTAGTTACTCAAAACCAGTTGAATGGATTTTCTTCAAAAATACTTTTACAAAAACATTGCTCTTCGCCTTCAGAGGAAGTCTGGTAATTTCTCAGACCTGACCAATTTTTACTGCTGAAGTTCTGGTGCGTCAGTACACAGCTTTATGACAGAGGCTGGGTGCGAGCTCACAAGACTAGCTCACTGTTCCTGTACAATCATTGACAGCGTAGCATTGAGCAGGGAGGGCAGTGCCATGCAGTGACGGGAGTGTAGCATTTGCTCTCGCATCAGCTGTTAACCACCCCTCCCGCCTCTGCCCCTTTAGCCCGTGCACAGAAATGAAGCCTTTCAAAGCCGCACACAGGCTATCTGAGAACGGAATTAATTAATTGAGAACCAGGATCTCTGCATGAAGAAATGAAGCATTTTTCCTCCCACTTCTGCGAACAATTTTGAAATTTTAAACCCTCAGTTTAGCCTAAAGGAAACAATTATTTCATTCTTAGTGGTGACATTCTCTGAAGTTTGTATGGATGGGGGGAGGCTTGAGGGGGATGTATACAATGCAGCCCACCTCTAGGCACCTCCTGCTGGGATTTGTGCCCTGCCACTGATCTTCCTTCCCTGGCATCCAGGAACAACTGCTCTACCTCTGGGAGTATCCCCACCAACGCAACACTTCAGAACTGAGCAGAGATTGCAAAAGGGATTTGCTGTGAGCTAAGGCGGGGCTAGTGAACCACAAACCTTGTGTTGTTACTCCCCCCCCCCCCTATATTTCCACATCCCAGTAAGAACAGAGGGGAAGAGGATGGGGGTAGAGGGGTAGTGCTGAAGTTCAGAAGATGAGCAATAAGCCAGCATGGAAGTGAAAGGGGGGCACGTAGGTGACAGGTGAAGGGGGTTGGGTGTGCACTGCAGGAATAGGGGGCAAAGGAGAAGGGAGGGGGACTGAGGGAGCGGCCAGGTTGCAGAGGCAGGGGCCTAGGGATAGATGCAGGGGGTAGGGGTATGCACTGCAGGAATAGGAAAAGGAGGGGGGCCCAGGAAGGGGCCAGGTTGCAGACGGCAGAGACAGGGGTCTGGGGGACCGGGGTGCAGAGGTCAGGGATGGATGCAGAGTGTAGAGGGAAAAGGGGCAGGGAAGGGAGCCCAGGGAGGGGCCAGGGTGCAGAGGGCAGGGATAGGGATGGATGTAAGGGGTAGGGGGTGTGCACTGTAGGGGTAGGGCACAGAGGGGCAGGGAAGGGAGTGGAGCCCAGGGTACTAGGGAGTAGAGGACAGGGACAGGGTACAGGGATGGGTGCAGGCTGGGGGTGTGCACAATGCTGGGATGGGGCACAGAGGACGGGGACAGGTGGAACTGGGGGCAGAGACAGGACACAGAGCAGCAGGGAAGGAAGCGGGGCCCATGGTGCAGAGATGGGACTGGGGTGTAGGAGGCAGGGACGGGGCACAGGGATGGGTGCAGGCTGGGGGTGTGCACGCAATGCAGGTATGGGACAGGGACAGGGGGACCAGGACAGGGCACAGAGGGGGGGGGAAGGGAGCTGGACACAGGGTGCAGAGGGTGAGGATGGGGCCTGAGGGACCGGGGTGCAGAGGGTGAGAACGGGGCACAGGGATGGGTGCAAACTGGGGAGGTGTGTGCAATGCAGGGATGGGGCACAGAGGGGCAGGGAAGGGAGCAGGGCCCAGGGTGCAGAGGGCGAGGACAAGGGCCTGAGGGACCGGAGTGCAAAGGGCGAGGACAGGGGCAGGGATAGGGACAGGTGCAAGCTGGGGGGGTGCAGAGGGCAGGGACGGGGTACAGGGACTGGCACAGGGATGGGAGCAGGCTCGGGGGGAGCGCAGAGGGTGGGGACGGGGCGTGGGGAGGGGGCGCGGGGAGGAGGGGGGGCAAGCCGGGATGGGGCAGGCATGCTGGGACGGGGCAGGCAGGGGCTACGGGGGGACGCAGGGCACGCTGGACGGGGGGAGCTGCGGGGACGGGTGCAGGCTGGGGGGAGGGCAGGCTGGGGGGGGTGCAGAGGGCAAGAACGGTCAGGGGGCGCAGGGGGCAGGGATGGGCACAGAAGGCAAGGATGGCAGGGGGACACAGAGGGCAGGGACGGGTGCAGGCTGCGGGGGGGGCGCAGAGGGCAAGGATGGCAGGGGGACACAGAGGGCAAGGACGGGTGCAGGCTGCGGGGGGGGGGCGCAGAGGGCAGGCTGTGGGGGGGGAGGGTGCCGGCCAGGGACAGGGGCAGGCTACGGGGGGGCGCAGGGAGCAGGCTGCGGGGGGGCAGGGAGCAGGCTGGGGGGGGACACGGGGGGTGCGCCGGGCAAGAACAGCGGGGTGCGCCGGGCGCAGAGGGCAAGGACGGCGGGGGGGGGGCGCAGAGGGCAAGGACGGGTGCAGGCTGCGGAGATGGGGGGGCAGGGACAGGTGCAGGCGGGGGGGGGCGTACAGAGGGCAGGGACAGGTGCAGGCTGCGGGGGGGGGCGCACGGGGCAGGCTGTGGGGGGGGAGGGTGCCGGGCAGGGACAGGGGCAGGCTGCGGGGGGGGGGCAGGGACAGGGGGGAGCGCCGGGCAAGAACAGCGGGGCGCGCCGGGCGCAGACGACAAGGACGGCGCAGGGGGCAGGGACAGAGGGCAAGGACGGGTGCAGGCTGCGGGGGGGGCGCAGGCGGCAGGGATGGGGGGGCAGGGACAGGTGCAGGCGGGGGGGGCGCAGGGACGGGGAAGCGCGCCGGGGAAGAAGAGCGGGGCGCGTCGGGCGCAGAGGACAAGGACGGCGGGGGGGGGCGCCGGGCAGGGACGGGCGCAGGCTGCGGGGCCGGGGGGGGGGGGCCGCCGGGCAGGGGGGGGCGCAGGCTGCGGGGGGGGCGCAGGGGGCAGGGCCGGGGGGGGGCCGGGCAGGGGGCGCAGGCTGCGGGGCCGGGGGGGGGCAGGCGCAGGCTGCGGGGCCGGGGGGAGGCGCAGGGCGCAGGCTGCGGGGCCGGGGGGGGGGCGCAGGCTGCGGGGCCGGGGGGGGGCGCAGGGGGCAGGGGGCAGGGCCGGGGGGGGGGGCGCAGGCTGCGGGGCCGGGGGGCGCAGGGGGAGGGCCGGGGCCGGTACCTGCGGGGCGGGCGCCGGGCGCAGCTCGCCCAGGTAGTACTGCTCCAGCCAGCGGCGCGCGTTGCGGGAGTGCCGGTGCGGCGGCCCCTCCAGCGCGGCGCTCACGTCCCCGCCCGCCCGCTCCCGCAGCAGCTGCTCGCCGCCCGGGTGCAGCCGCACGAAGCCGCTGAGGTCGTAGAGGCGGCGGCCCCGCAGCACCAGGCAGGCGCCCTGGGCGCAGCGCTGCCGCAGCTCGGCCGGGCTGTAGGCGCGGGGCGGCGGGGCCATGGCGGGTCGGGTCGGCTCGGCTCGGGTCGGCTCGGGCCGCTCCAGCTCCAGCTCCGCTCCTCGGGGCACCCGCAGTCGCCAGCCCGGCACCTGCTCATTTCCATATCATGCATAGGCATGAGCGCCGCCACGCCCCCAAGCGGCGCCTCATGGATATTCAGCAGGCGCGCGGGGCTCTGATTGGTGGCTGGGGCGGCGGGCGGGGTGAGAGCGGCCAGGTGCGGGCGGGGCCCAGAGCCAGACCCGCCTCTCCCGGGGGCGGCCGGAGGAAGGGGGGGACCCAGGTGCTGGGTGCAGCTGAGTGTTATTGACAACGCCCAGCCCCCTCTACCGGCAAAGCACGTCAGACAGGTGGGCAGAAACGGTAGCCCCATTTTACAGGGGGGAAACTGAGGCACGGAGTGGGGGGCTGTGGCTTGCCCTAGGTCACCCGGCAGGGAACAGGGCACAAAGCCCAGCTCTCCTGCCTGCCAGTCCGGCGCGCTCCTCCCGAGACACACGCTGCCTCCCTCGCCTGGGTTATGGACAAGATGCCCCACCCACAGAGGACAGGAGAGCTGCATCGAGGGGGGTTGGACACCCAGAAGAGGGTGTGAAGCTAGTTTGCGGAGGTTTTGGAGACCTAGAAAGGGAACAGGTGACTGTTATTAGTAATAATTACCCATTCTAGTTAATAATTAGCCCTATTCACTAAATAGGGCTAATTATTAACTATAATGGGTAATTATTACTAATAACCCATAACAATCCACAAAAAGCGGCTTGGTTTATAACTGTGTGTGTCACCTTCCAGGAAACCACATTGGCAAGGTACCCAGGGCCCGCCCCAAAGTGCAGGTTAGCTACAGCTAGGTTGAGAATACAATGGGCCGGATCCTTGGCCCCTTTGCACTGCTTTGGGGGCCCAAAGCAGCATGAAACCTTGCCTGAGAATCTGGCTGAGGATGCTCAGGGGACCCCAGTACAGGGGGTGTTTTGGGGATGAAGCATGGCCAGAAGAGGTTGCATTCAGACAATCCCCAGCTTCCATAATGGGGGCTGTTGCAGACAGCCATAAATTAGAGCAGCCCTGAGGCTGCTTATGATGGTAGCTGAACTGGACCTTGGCAAGCTTGGCCTGGGGTATCAGGGGAAAGCAATGATAGTGTAAATCCACCTTCTCCTCCCTTGGGTCCTGCACTGAGCCTGACACAAAGATCTGGGCCATTTTCATTATTATCAATTGTTTGTATTGTGGTAGTATGCAGGAGCCCAGTCAGGGACCATGACCCTGTTGTGCTAGGCGCTGTACAAACAAACACAGCCTGCACACCAGCTGCCTCACCCTTGTCAAGCTTTTTGTGAGCAGCATCCCAGCCAAGGGGAGTTTTAAGGAGGGATTTGAAGGAGCACAGTGAGGGAGCTTGGCAGATGATTGCAGAGAGCACCTCCCACACATAAGGGGCAGTATGGGACACAGCACAAGGGTGCTTGTTGGAAAATGTAACAAGTGGACAGTGAAGCCTGGTGTCATGGGCTGGTCAGAGGTAGGAGTCATTGTTCCCCTAGTGTATGAGAAATAATACATAGGGTGGGGGCAAGCCACAAAGAGCCATAGCATGGATAATAGATGAAAATGGTGCGAGGACGAGTTTGGAGCACAGAGGCACACAAAAAAGGGAAGGGGATACTGGGACACGGGTGAGGTGGGGTTGTGCTTTCCCCCAAAGAGAAGAACATGAAACTCTGTGTGACACAGATTTCCTATTAGTTACTTTACTGTGCTGATAAATATCTTTGTGACTGAAGTACCTTTCTCTGAAAAATTAGCATTGGAAAATTAGCATGTGCAGAATAAGGAAACACTGGCTGCTCAGTGAACAAGGAGAGGGGGACAGACCCAGGCCTATGGGACAGCACAGGAGAAGACCAGAGGAATGGAATGAGGAGAAGATGAGGAAAGGAATGGTTAGGCAGGAAGGTTATGGGGAAGAGAGGGGGATAGGGGGCTATGGCTAGTTGTGCATGTCCTCATGTTTTTGTTCTCCACCAAAGGCTTTTAAGCAAAGTAAGCCACCATGGGATAAGAGGGGAAGTCCTTTCATGTTTTAAAAGATAGGAAATAAATGGTCAGTTTTCACAGGGGAGAAAGGTAAATAGCGGGGTCCCCCAGGGATCAGTATTGGGACCAATGAGGTTTAACATATTCATAAATGATCAGGAAAAAGGTGAGGTGGCACCCAAAAAAGCCAACAACAACAACCCAACAGTGCAGTGGCAAAGAGTTACAAAGGGATCTCACAAAACTGGGTCACTGAGCAACAAAATAGCAGATGAAATTCATTGTTGACAAATGCAAAGTAATGCACATTGGAAAACACCTCAACTGTTCGTACAAAATGATGGAGTCTAAATTAACTGTTACCACTCAGGAAAGAGATCTTGGAGTCATCATGTATAATTCTCTGAAAACATCTGCTTAAAGTGCAGTGGCAGTCTAAAAAGCTAACAGACTGTTAGGAACCATTAGACAGAAAATATCACGTCACTATATAAATCCCTGGTATGCCCACACGTTGAATACTGTGTGCAGTTCTGGTCACTCTGTCTCAAAAAAGATATAATGGAAAAAAGTACAGAGAAGGGCAACAAAAATGATGAGGGGGATGGATCAGCTTCCATGTGAGAAGAGTTTAATAAGACTGGGACTGTTCAGGTTGGAAAAGAGTTGACTAAGGGGGATATGATAGAGGTCTATAAAATCATGAATGGGGAAGAGAAAGTGAATAGGGAAGTGTTATTTACCCCTTCACTTCACACATGAACCAGGGGTCACACAATGAAATTAACAGGCAGCAGGTTTAGAACAAACATAAGGAAGAACTTCTTCCCACATCGCACAGTCAGGCTGTGGAACTCATTGCCAGGGGATGTTGTAAACGTTAAAAGTGTAACTAGCTTCAAAAGAATTAGCTAAGTTCATGGAGGATAGAGCCATCCATGGCTATTAGCTGAGATAGTCAGGGACATAACCCCATGCTCTAGGTGTTCCCAAACCTCTGATTGCTAGAAGCTGGGGCTGGATGAAACAGGTTGGATCACTCAATAAAGTGCTTTGTTTTGTTCATTCCCTCTAGGGCACCTGGCATCAGCCACTGTCAGAAGACAGAACACTGGGCTGGATGGACCAGTATGGCTGTGCTTATGTTCTTATGTTTATATTCTTATGTGTACTGCTAACAGATGTACCTCACACTTGCACAGAGAGTCCAAAATGCCATGCTGGGCATTGGTACATGCTGTGTACATACTTATGTCTGCCTCCACACTGCCCCTCCTTGGTACGTGATGTTAGTTCTAGCATTTCCACCGGGAGACACTCTAGGAATCGCCTTCCTGCGTGTTGCTGGTACTGCATGCTGCCTTCACACATTTGACAATGGCAGGTCCCACTCCTCTCTCCCATCTGCCAAACTGGGTGGAAGATGTGGAGCAAGTCCATGATGCTGTGGCTTTTCTCCTGCTTCTGAGACAAATGTCCACGTGCTGCAGTGCTGCGTACTGAACGGAATAAGTCATGCTCTCAGGCAGTCACTAGTGCAGCTGGTGGCTGAATGCTTTCAGGTCCAGCCTGGCGCCATAGCCCTGGCTCCTCTCTGGGAACACATACCTTCTCCTTCTTTTCCTCCTTCTGCTGCTCCTCCTCCTCCTCCACCGCCAGCTGCTGCCCATGCTGCTGTTGAGCCAGTGGCTCAAACCCTGCTCTCTGTGCCAGGGAGGAGCCTGCTAGATGCCCAGTGCAGCATCCTTGACCAGCACCTGAAAACCCTTGCAGGGGACCCCCCCAGAGCATGCAGGAGGGGAACAGTGAGCCCAAGCCAGTCCCTGTGCAACCCAGCCTGTGTCTGGCCCTCAAACTCCACGCAGCTGACAATTCCCACTTGTCCCCCTCCCCCACAATATTCCACAGCCATTCCCCCCGGCCAGGTCGAGGGGAAGGGGAAGGGCAAGGAGCTGGGTCCACAGACGTGAATGTTTGTACATTTCACAGGGTATTTGACTCATTTTTTGTTTATTTCCAGTTCCTGTTGAACTGTTCTAGTTCTGTCCCCCATGATTCCCTTTAAATAAAAGTTACTGGTCATTTAAATTGTGAGTGCGATCAATGGGATGTTTGCCACATGGTTTGAATGGGTTGGCAGGATTTACAGCTTATGACAGTGATTTCTGTAACTGTCCGATGCCATACAAATGCAATGAATTCTCTCTCTCTTCCACATCCTTTTTTCCTTCCCGCACCCCCCAGCCATTCCCAATCTTAAAAAAAAATCAACAACAAAACCGTGGTTCATGACGATGAGCTAAGTTTGTAAATATCTATTGCGGTCCACAGCAGCAGAATGCAGAGCAAAAGTGACATGTACATGTACGTCTTCATGCCTTTGTAAACAATGCAAGTGACAACATAGAGAAAGGAAACAAAAGTAAAAAAATGTATAGTGCAGAATGCAGATATCTGACCCTGAGCTGTGCTTTAACAACTCCTCATCGGGGCACTGGAACAGGGGGGCCAAGGGGCCATGCCCCTTCCACTTTCAAAAGTGGATGGGCCTTGTACCTCCACTTTTTGCCACGGGCCTGGCCCCCTGCTCCCCCTCTTCCCTCCGAGGCCCCACCCCTTAGCCAGGCCAGAAGCTGGAGCCTGGTCCAGGGAGCCTGGGCAGCTGTGGGGAGCCACAGACCCTCCTCCTGCCCGGGGTGGGAGGACCAAGAGCAATCCATGTCCTTGCCCCCCGGACCCCAGCCCAGAACAGGTGGAAGGTCTGCAGCTCCCCACAGCTGCCTGGGCGGCTCTTCTCATGGCCTGACTGTGGGTCTTCGGCCCCCACCCTCAGGTCAGGCCAGAAACCAGAGCCAGGTCAGGGTAAGAGCCATGAAGAATCTGTCACCCCTGCCTCTCTTCCTCCATCCTCAACAAGCATTCATTGTTTGCAATCTTGGAAGTGCTGTGGGCACTGGAGGCAGAAAGGGGTGGGAAGAAGGAATGTGCGA